CAGTCCCGCTCTCGGCCATCACCATCATTGGCAACATCCTGGTCATTGTTGCCTTCCACGTCAACCCTCTCCTCAGGACAGTCAGTAACTACTTCCTGTTGAGCTTGGCTGTGGCTGACCTCATCCTGGGCACCATCTCGATGAACCTCTACACCACTTATATCCTTATTGGAAACTGGACATTAGGCAATCTGGCTTGTGATGTGTGGCTGGCTGTGGATTATGTAGCAAGTAATGCCTCTGTCATGAACCTGCTGGCCATTAGCCTTGACCGCTACTTATCCGTCACACGACCTCTTACCTATCGGGTCAGCCGCACAACCAGAAGGGCAGCACTACTGATTGCTCTGGCATGGGGTATATCTTTCCTGCTTTGGGCACCAGCCATCTTGTTCTGGCAGTACATAGTAGGTGAAAGGACAGTGCCTGAAGATCAGTGTTCAGTCCAGTTCCTGTCTCAGCCTGTGATCACATTTGGAACAGCCATTGCAGCTTTCTACTTGCCTGTCAGTGTAATGGTGGGTCTATACTGGCGGGTGTATCGAGAGACGGAGAGACGTTCGCGGCAATTGGCTGGGCTAATAGCATCCCGTGTGGGCGACTCAAACAAGTCATCACAGGTGAGTTACAAATGTTGATATTCAGTTCTATGTATGTACAATATGTAGATTTTAGGACGCGTTACACCAAATTTTTTTAAGATCTCATTTTCGTTTTTTTTTTTTTGTCATTATCAGTCCCAGTCCAGTAGCAGCTATGTAAGTGACACTGAAGAAGCCAGGCATCAGATAACCATCCAGCCAGAGCCAGAAGAGAGCACTAGGACCCTGTGTCCCTCCTTCACCCAGTGCACAGCATCATGGTGGAAGAAGAGTAGGATAAGGTACACTGGAGCTCCATCACACACCGTAAACATCCGCACACAAACTGGCACAGACTGCTTCCTCAGCAGTGAGGATAGGCAGAAAAATGCTGCATATATTCCTCTTGCTCAGATCAGGAGGCTGGACTCACTGAAAGATTCTGATGTTGATTCTGATGATATCCAAGTGGCGAACTGCCAATCAGTCAGTCAACAGTCCCTCAATGTCAGACAGTGTCCCACTGTAACTACAAGAACATCACCTCTTTCACAGTCAGTTTCACAGAAAAGCCGCAAGCCACGCAGCTGGTCTCTGATCAGAGAGAAGAAAGCAGCACGGACCCTGTGCGCCATCCTACTGGCGTTCATTGTGACGTGGACGCCCTACAACATCATGGTGCTGGTGTCCACATTCTGTGAGCACTGTGTTCCTGAGAGGCTCTGGCAGTTGGGGTACTGGCTTTGCTACGTCAACAGCACGGTGAACCCAGTTTGCTATGCATTCTGCAACAAGCACTTTCAAGTCACCTTCAAGGCTCTGTTACTCTGCAGGTGGAAGGAGCAGAGGAAGGGGAGAAGATGGACTGTTTCACAGGACAGCTAGTCAACTCACTGGAGACTGTGGGTTCCTCTCATTTTTTAATTGCACATCCTTGTTTCCTTTCCTTGCGTCCTCAGAGAGGGGAGCTAATGAGATGCAAGCACAAGGGAATTTGGCAAATGAGACATCCTTGCTCATTGAAGTGACAATTATTGAGACTTGTTGCACAATTGCATGGTCTATCACTCATCATTACACACACTTACACACAGTGTAATTAACAACTAATTCACCATCAATCAAAACATTATGCCATATGTACATTGCATTCTTAAATGTTGATGTTCAAGCCTCCAAGATTCTATACCATCAACATACCTATGGGCATATCATAAGGAAATTCCTGCACATTTTACCCATTGTTTGTTTTTATATATATATATTTTTTACTGTTATTATTTTTCTATCTGTTTTTGGGGGGATGCACAATTTTTACCATCATGGGTTACAAAAAAGACATATATAAGAGGCAACTGATATCCCCACTTTCAGATTCCTCTGAACAAATGTAAAGAATTGATGCATCCATGTTGATGATGATGGGCCAATGTCCAGGGCTGAAGGATTGAGAGTATTAAAAAGAACACTTTTTATAAAATTGTGGCGATTCTTATTTGCTAGCATAAAGCTGTGGATTTCTTGAACAGTTAACTATTAACTTTGGTTTTGGTCTCACTCCAGGTAAAGTTAAGAACAGCTTGGACTACAAAAAATGAGGATGAAGGCTTTATGTTGCAATGAAGTGGACATCGAAGGAGGAAGTGCAAAAAGAACAGTATACTGAGACAATCAAAAACCAGTAGAGCTTTTTTCCTTACTCTTTGTGAATGCTATATTGGGTTAAACAGTCCATGTTGTTTTGTGTTTATTGTTGAAACACTGATGAAGTCAGGTGTTTATGTGCAGAGACATGGTGGAGCCATGTTTAAAAGAATTTAAAACCATGAACACTTGTGTTACATGTATGTTTATTGAAGAAAGGGCAATATAAAAGGAACATAAGACAGCATCACATTCATTACCAAATACTAACAGACACAAAACTCCACAGTTTGTCAAATACTTAAATGAATGAAGGAAAAATGCTTTTGAGAATGTGGACCTTGGCACCATTAATTCCTGCAAGGAAAAACTCAACAACAATAAAAGTGTACTTCCGATACATATAGATATTAAAATACACCATAATCTTGTCAGAATAAGGCCATGTGATTTCTTCTGACATGCACTGTAAACAAGCAAGGAAAAAAAACAACAAAAACAACAATCTGGCAACATATATAACATATATATGAACCAGCTCTTCATATCCATTAGTGAGGGATATCTATGGAAATAATCACTTTCTTTACTTTCCTTAGTGCTCAAATCATTTAAAACACTTGATATATGTAGTAATGTGTCAGACAATAATGCTGCAACCGTGGCATGAAGTGAAGGTCTCTGCTGCCAAGTAAAAGTCTCCAACCCGCTCTACCTTCTCCGCTCCTCAGCTGTCACACCAGGCTAATAACGATGTTGTGAAGACATCAAAATCTAGATCATGTAGTGTAAAAAGGATTCTTAGTTGGTGTGTATGAGCTGGATCAAAGGGAGTGTGTGATCACGTGTTGTCTCATAAGCAGTCCTGTTGATGTGATTACTCTACTGTAGGATTCTGGCTTTGGTAGATGGAAGCCTTGTCCTTCAGAAGATCCAGACACAAACGACAACTCCAACTTCCTGTACGTGTGAAACATGAAAATACACGTTACTGTTAATGACAATGTAATTGCAGTGCTGCCTGTAACTACCACTAATCCCTGCAAACGCTTTAGCACATTTACATCGACCTTAGAATATAGTGTACATTAAATTATGAGCCATCATGAGACTACAAAAGTATACTAGTAATGTATAGATAAACATGCAAGCAGAAGTAGAATTTATACAGAACAGATTTTTTTCCTATATTGAAGAGGGCAAAGTAAAAAATTGTAGTATGTTAGTTTGACAGTTAGTGACACCAAGTGGCTTGACACCAAACTGAAGCTATTTTTGTTAAGCTTTAAAAAAAAAAAAGAAAAAAAAAAAAAAGAAAAGAAAATCTGTGGCCATCTTTCTTATTGTTCTTATTCTTTTTTGTTGGTGAAGATTTTAATGTCATTCATTCATTTTCTAGTAAACAAGTTTTATTAAAACTAGTCATTTCCATAGTTACAGATTTTAAGTCCACTGTGTTATGCTTCCTTCCTTTCTTGCTGTATTGTACAGTCCTTTATTAAAATATTAATTTATTATTTTCAGTGTAAAGATTAAAGCTAAAGATGGCAAAATTAACACTGATAGCAAAGGAACATATAATGTATAAAAATTAAAAGGGAGCATAGCCTGAAGGATTAATGTTTTGCAGCGTGTCTAAAGTGATTTACCTTCTGGTGGGTCGGACATAGGAGGAGTGAGGCAGTACATATGGTATCCTCTGTCGCAGTCATCACAGAACAGAAGCTGGTCCTGAATCAGCACAATCACAAGAGGATACAGTCAAATGGGCACATTAAGGTGTGCAAATAGACCTATTGTATCACATTAACATGTGAATGCAAGACTTGCAGGGATTGAGACATGACAGTGTGCGAGTGTCTGAAGAGGTCACTGAACTCACATCATTCTCAGATGTGCCACAAACATTGCAGCACTTGCATTCAATGCATTGCCAGCGATATGTTTTAACCGCTGCCATCATCACTGCTGTGAACTGCAGGCAAGAAGGATGGCCTGAGAAAACGGACATTAAAAAGAGCATCAATCATAATGCCATAATGCAAATATTACAAGCTTCAGAAGTCCTTGGCCTGTGTTACACAAACAAATAAATAATTTATGAAATAACCAGTGACAATAACTAACCAACAACCTAAATGTGTAACAGTCACTGTGCTGAAATAAGTGACTACAAGGTTGTTTCTCTGGGGCTTTATTGGATGAGAGGGAAATGTCATACCCGAGCGTCCACAGTCAGAGCAGGACACCAGCTCCTCAGACTGGCCCGTCTTCTGGTTCATGTTGGAGTCACCCAGGCAGAAATCACAGTAATCATTTGGCGGTGCCAAGCCATTGGGACCTTTCTTAGGAGCTAAGGACAAAGTGGACATTGGTTAAAAATGGGGTGTATTATTTAACAATTTGTATTAAAAATGCACTTTATATAAATTAACTGGAATAGCTAATGATACCATAGTATAGTTTAGCAGGAGTTAGACAAATAAAGGGCAAATAAAAGCTTCAACGTGCTCACCAGATCCATATTTGCCCAGAAACTGACTAGGCTAAAAAAGTGGTAGGTAACATAATTTAATCATGCATTAGTTTGCTAGTTAAGTGCATTAATGTAGACTAGGGGAAACAAACAAGAACACGATCATGTAGAAAATTGTGTGTGCATCCAAAAGATGTTGGCCAACATTTCATCTAGGACATTTCCCTCATTTTATCCAAAGTGACTTACAGCTGAGATAGGACACAACTGAGCACTCGAGTGTTCAGTGGCCCAACGAGCGTCGGTGCTGGGATTTGAACTCAAGACCTTTCAATCAGTAGCCCCATGCCTTGCCCACTCAGCTACCACTGCTCTATGAAATGTGTTCTGTCTTCATATTACACGTTAAAAAAAGATGTTATTTGGGTCTGGTTAGCGTCTAGCATGTTCTGTTGACATACTGAACTGCAGCATGGCTGCATGCAGCAGGAGTGTTACACAGCTTGCTTTTTTTTTTTTTTTTTTTTTGTGCTGAACTTTATTGTGCTCAGTTCCACCAGTTGTTCCATATACCTGTGTGTTCCTGCCTCTGAAAAAGACAATCAGTCATCCTTGAAATGTGCTTGTCTCAAGTTCCTGGGTTACTGATTTGTCCACTCCAATGTAGTATAGTACACATTATTTAACTACTATGTAGAGATTTGCAGCAGGACTAGAATGTCCATTACTTACAGCATGACTGTAAGTAATGGACATTGCATGACAAGGAGGACACTGAAATCACATGACTTATAGAACTTACTCTTGGTTTCCTCCTGTGGTGCAGGAGTGTGGATCTCAGCTTCCTCTTTTTCCTCTCCCTCCTCTTCAGCCAGGTGAGAGTGGGTGTAGTGGTAACTCAAGCCTGGTCTGTTCTTATAGCGTTTTCCACAGACTAGACACAAAGCATATGTGTTAAAATAAATATGGGTTAGCATGCACAAACGCATACAGCACACCAGAGGAAAGCAACTTACTATCACAGGCATATGGTTTATCACGATCTTCCAAAGCTGCTGCAGCTGCTTCTGTTTTTTTCTTCCCATTTCCGACTCCACGACCCTAACACACAGAGAACATCAGTCCATTGTTGTTTCTGACAAATTTATTCTATCACCAAATCACAATTAGGCTGCAGTGTGTCCGTTGTCAGCTACCTTAGATTTTCCTTTCCGTCTTTTTGGGGTCTCCTCCTCAAAATCTTCATCGTCCAGGTCATCCAGATAGTCTTCTGGTTCTAGGATTCTCTGAGAAAACAAGTGAAAAAGAACGGACTCTAGCAAAACACAATCATTCAAATATGTAAAAACAGTTATCTACTATGCTGAAACAGTCTTAGGGTGTTTTCACACTTGGCCTGATTGCCTGAGGCCACACCCAGGATTGATTCTAAGCTGGTCTGTGTGAAAGTGATATGAAACATGTTCTCATCTGAGAATCCACTCTTAATTGTCATTTTAATATTTGCATACTCAGTGCATTCATTATTTTATCTGTTTTTGCTCAATACTCATCAAAGGTTTGGGTAAAGTCAAAGCATACAAAAACAACTCCAAAATTTATCAGTTATCATTTGCCTTTTAAAGATGCTTCTACTTAAAGGCATTCTGCTGCCCTTACACATCAAAACATACCCTTCCCTGTCACTGTGAAACTTGATATAGGAAGTAATGTGACCAGTAGCTATACTCCATCACATTATTGTCTGCCTGGTCTAGAGAGCAGATCACTTAAACACACTGTGCAGTCCGAACCAGAATTCTCGTGTAGTGAACAATCCACCCTCAAAAGTGAATAAGCAGTTCCCTGAACCAAACTTAGCATGGTGGTGGATGCTACATCAACTAGTTACCTTTCTCACGCGTGTGGATCCACTGTGGCTACTGGCCCCGGCAGTGCCCGAGATGTCTGCCAGACTCTGGTCTTCCTCTGGGCCCCTGAGCTCTGGAGCAGCTCTCTTATCCATGGGTTCTCCTTTTAGCAAAGCCTCCAGGCTGCTTCCATCCAAAGGCCCTAACCCATCTTTTTTCAATCCCAATTCAAGGTCGGCTTTAAGAGAGAAAGTATGTGTGTTGGTGGAAAACAGCCTCATTTTAAAATTCTCGATAAGATAAAATGATAAGATTACCTGCTTTGAGTGGGGGGAAAACCAAAGCGGGGTCCTCGGGTGGATGTGCCCTTCTCTTCTTCCTCCAGCGGCGGGCAGGGTACGTGTATAACTGCCCTGGTGCTACGCCTTGTCAAGGACAAAGTAGGCAATAAGAAAGTGACAAGTGACAAAGTACGCAATAACAAGTGACAGTCATTGAAATGGTGCGGTATGTGGATAAAGAAAAGCATATCAAACCTGCACTCCTGTGCCTTTTCTCCATCCAGATGTAGCAGTTGCTCTGAGCCACTCCAGTCTGGGAGTCGAGAAAAGGCATGAGGATGCTTCTCTCTGCACACAGACGGGCATTGTAGCTGTGACACTGCTCCATGGCATCTTTGTAATACTGCTCTCCCATCCTAACGCACAAAACACACAAATGTTCATGAGAAATTGCAAGACAGAAAGAAAGATGAGCATGAAATAGCATCCAGCTGTTATGGTGTGTCGCAGTTTGGCGCCAATTAACCGATTATTCGATTAAACACACCACTAACAAACAATAGCTACAGCTAGGTCTCCTTTACTCAAACAAGAAAGCGTTCAACACAAACAAATTACACAAAAACTCCATGCAGCGAGTAAAACGTGTCTAGAATGGCTCATAATGGGCAAATACGGTATGTGCAGGAACAATGGTTAGTAACTATATAGCTAATAAGCTAATATTTTTTTCTTGGAAAACAATGAATGGAAACGGTTAGCAAGCCACTGTTTAAATCGATAAACTGAGTTAACTCGATCTAACACACCACTTCGTTCTGATTATTTAAGAGCAAACTTGTTCGATTCTGAGCAACAGATAACCAACGGCTAGTCATTTTAATGTAGAAAAAAAACCCTGTAAATCAACTCACACTTTAACAACATTCTCAACGGCCGCCGCCATTTTTTGATGTAATGGTCGTAATGTGCACTGCGCATGCGCACCACACGAACGCTGCCAGATGTTCGCACCCCCAATGAAACCCTCTTCAGCAATCTGGCTCTGCTTTCTGTCCTTTGTCTTCCAACAAAACCCCCACTTCTCTACCAACTGTTCCTCAGAACAGCAGCGTTTCATTCAATTCTACCATACGCAAACCTCAACGGAGAAAAAGTAGAAAAGGAGGAATGTTTTAGAAGACATACAAGATCATATTGAGTTTATTTGGAAAGTATTACAGCATAGAAAACAAAAAAAAGAGTTATACATCTATTCCGATTAATCTGCGTATATTCGCCATGTCTCCAGTCTCCATGGCTTCTGTTAGGATGAACTGTTTTGCTGTACAGCTCAATCTCCTGCTTAAAAAACCACAAAGAAAAGCTAACAGTGAATGCAAGTCTTGATTTCTGGTCATAATCTGGTCTTGATTTCTATATTTTATCTGGAAAACTAATTGTATATACATAAAAAAAAATACCCCAAATATTTATCCTTCCATCTTTTCCTTTGTTAGAATGAACTATTTCAATATACACTTACACAACACATAACAGGTTAGTAGAATGATTCTATTTACAGTCACAGCTAAGATTATTTGATTATTTAACCATGGTGTTTTCTCATAAATCTGGATGAAAACTAAATGATAAGGGTAAGATCTAGAGCTCAGTAGGACTAAACAATAGTGCCTAGTCTTTGCCCAGGCTTTCTACAGCCACCCAAGAGATCTAAATTCACCTCAGTGTAACAGCTTTCAGCTTCACTTGTTTTATGACAACGCACTGAAGGAAAAAGAAAAACGGACAATCTTTCTGCAACGCTTTATATACAACAAGAAAAAGTCGAGCTGTTGCTCACATAATTCGGTTATGGCGACACGCTGTACAGCAGAACTGCGTGCACGCGCGTCCGCCATCTTCTCAAACCTAACCGCGCGCCTCTGAAACCACTGGAATTATGGGATTTAAAGCGTTTTTTCCGGATCTAACACTTTTAGTTTTTATATACTTTTTCGTATATTACAGTACATTAGCGTCTTTTTAATTCCCAGTATTTATAAACACTATAATTTGAACACACTCATATTTCTGTTTAGAATATTTATCTGTGCGCGGGTGCTGATGAATTATGGCAGTTTTGCGCAATCGGTGACATCATCACTAGTCGCTCCGCCCACATGACCGCCGCCATTTATTCCGGGCTACAGACCGCCATTTTAGATTATCTGATCACGCAGATCAAGAAGCCTCGTGGAAATGGAGAGCCAGCTTTGCAAGCTTTTTGTCGGTGGACTCAACGTCCAGACCACAGATGAAGGCCTCCGCAAGCATTTTGAACAATTCGGAGCTCTGACCGACTGTGTGGTGGTGCAAAACCAGCAGCTGAAGCGCTCGCGCTGCTTCGGCTTCGTGACCTACTCCACGCCAGAGGAGGCGGACGCCGCCATGGCCGCTAGGCCTCATGTGCTGGACGGCAACAACGTGGAGCTGAAAAGAGCAGTGGCTCGGGAAGACGCCGGAAAGCCAGAAGCCCTCGCAAAGGTCAAGAAAATCTTTGTCGGCGGTCTTAAAGACGACATCGAGGACCAGCATCTCGTCGACTGCTTTTCGCAGTTCGGTGCCGTCGAGAAAGCCGAGGTGATCACAGACAAAGAGACCGGCAAGAAGCGCGGCTTCGGCTTCGTGTACTTCGAGGACAACGACGCTGCCGATAAAGCTGTAGTGCTCAAGTTTCACAACATTAACGGCCACAAAGTGGAGGTGAAGAAAGCCCTGACCAAGCAGGAGATGCAGAGCGCCGGGGGTCGTGGCGGTGGCGTTCGCGGAGGAAGAGGAGGAGGACGCGGCATGGGAAGACCTCAAAATGGCTACGGCGGCGGAAGAGGCGGTGGTTATGGAGGTGGCTACGGAGGTGGCTACAGCGGCGGCTACGGCGGAGGAAACGACGGCGGGTATGGTGGCGGCTACGGAGGTGGCTACAGTGGCGGGTATGGGGGCGGCTACGGGGACCAAATGGGAGGCTACGGCGGTGGCAACGGCTACAATGACTTTGGCAGCGGCTACGGCCAGCAGGCCTCGGGCTACGGCCCCATGAAAGGTAATTACTCGGGCAGAAACAGCGCTCCTTACTCCCGAGGTGGCGGCGGTGGTGGTGGTTACGGAGGCAGGGGGGGTTATGGAGGCTCGTATTAAAGAGCGGGTTTTATAGATAGAGTAAAGTTCCTCCTCACCCCAGGACTCGAGAGAATTTAGCACA